AGAGAGAGAGAGAGAGAGAGAGAGAGAGAGAGAGAGAGAGAGAGAGAGAGAGAGAGATGTACGGAGAGGTTAGAACAACTTGACTGATAACCGGATCGCTTGGCAGCAGAATTAGAGTCAGCAGCAGCAGATAGTACAGCGCCCTGCCTGCGACGAGTGCATTGACAGGATAGGGGAATTGCCGATCAACTTGCGTGCGGACTCTGGATGTGAATCACAAACGAGAATTCTGTACTTCTCCTCCACACAGTTGCTACCTAGTCGTGAAAGCAGGGAAGAGGTACTCGAGAACCTTGGAAGCTTTGACGACCACTCGAAGGCAAATGTCTTGATGTTAAAAAAACCCTGCACATCCAGTCAATCAGCTTTGAACTCGAGTCGTCGCGTCCACGAAACCTGCGAATCCCATATGTCATGTCGAAAACGACACAATTCGTTAGCGTGCATGCAGAATCGCAGAAAAATCGAAGCAAAGCAAAGGATAATCTTGCCACTTGTTTTTCCGACTGCCCAATCATAAAACGGACTTCAGTATAATATGCCGAGAGCCTAGGGCACGCTTCTATGAACAGACCGGCATGATGTGGAATTCTCTCTCTCCCCCCCTCTCTCTCTCTCTCTCTCTCTCTCTCTCTCTCTCTCTCTCTCTCTCCTCCCCCTCCCCCCTCCCCCCTACCAAGTGCGCCTGCCCTCGGTGATTTTCTTGTCCTTTCGACTTTGCTTATCATCACTTCTCCATATTTATCCTCGATTCAATATCTGATTCCTGATCTCTTCTTCACTCTTTTTTCAAATTCTCCGTTCTCAATATTCTGCACATCCACATCCCCATTGTCGTTTGACCTGCATTGTTACGTTCGGCCGGAAGCTGTGTGCCCAAACGCAGCGGTCATTCTTTCTTCTCCACTCCTTAGCTGCCTGTGAGTGTGTGTGTGTGTGTGACGTTCGCTTCCCCCGTGCGTGTGGCTGATATCTCTTGTTTGTGTGTATGCGATGTGCATGGTCTGTGTGCTTTACGTGTGCCTTCGCGCGTGTGCGTTTCTGTGCGTGTGTGTTTGCCAAAATCCCCAAACTCTCTCTCTAATTCCATCCGCATTCCATCAAAAACCATCCATAAACACAAAACGTACAGATGGCCAATATAATAGAAGGTGAAAGGTTCCCCACGTTTGTCTGGTTGAGCGGGAAGTGCCCACACTCGCACGGGCGTGTGTATGTGTGTGTGTGTGTGTGTGTCTGTGTGTGTGTGTGTGTGTGTGT